GCACACTTTCACGCCTACACTCACGTATTTAACACGTTATGTGACACAACAACAGACGTCAGATATTTGTCTTTTAAACGTAACAAAGACGCGTCACAAACCTGCTTGCGGGATGGACATACAGTTCGTGACAATGTCGAATAAACTTGATTGGATTTCAAAGTATTCTGGCTTTTCCACGCTAGATGAACACTCAGACCAGACTTTTGGGCGTCTGACGTTACCTTCACACACTAAGCGGTACATACGTAAGGTAATTTAACATAGCCGCCCAGGTGTTGATCTCGTTGTTGTTGATTGTGCTTGTGCTGATGTTGACGTTGATGTTCTTGGCGATGTTGATGGTGATGTTCTCGCTGCTGTTAAAAGGTAAACTTGATGTTGTTATGGATAGAATTAAAGCACTTAATGAAGTTCAGCAGCTCATCGTTCGAGTGAATTCAGAGCACTTTGGAATCATCGATGCCTCTGGCGTAAAAAGCAGGTCTTAGGCGCGTGCCGTTAATGACAGCTTGTTCAGATTTGTGCATCAATGTTATTGCAGCGGGAGGTGCCACGTTGTTGCCCATGGCAATGCCGAGTTGCTGTTTGAAGTGGTCATTGTCAGATCTGAAGGTGTTCCCTTGGAGACAGTTCCCGTGATATCCGCAGGTGTATGACCACGAAGATCAATTTCGCTCCAGTGTTAACAAATAAGATTAATGACCACCGATACAGTATCCACCAGCGGAATGCTGACACATGGGTTGAAAACATCGATGCTGAAAACTGTGGCTTTCCGTGGAAGCTGGTGGTCAAGGAACTGATCTCTGAGTCTTGTTAGGTATTCTTCTGTATTCCTGAGATGAGTTGGGATATAGGCAAGACATTAGTGTAAGATCCTACCTAGGAGCCAAGAGTTTTTTTCAGTCGGACCACCACACACAGAAACAAAACAAAAAAAAACAAATGTTTGAAGGTCGGTGGATACGCCTAAGGTAGGAGGAGCACCCCTGAGGTCGGAGGGGCACTGGCAGAGGGGTAAAGGCCAGGGGGGTTCCGCTGCCTGATGGTCCTCTGGTAGCCCATGGAAAACTGATGTTCTGGGGTTTGTGGGTAGAAGGCCCCACGCAAATGGAGCGGGAAGCTTTTTGCAGTATGTTTATGAATCTGTTTGGTTCTTACTTCAGCCTTTCCTGTTGTGTTCCTGGGTTTTTCTTGTCGCTGTTCTCGTCCCGCAGTATTTCGCCAGCTTCATCAAGGCACGTTGTTTTACCCAAAATGACAAGCCTCCTTCATATATCACTTGGTCTCAGAATCATGCCCCCATCCGTCTTTAACAACGCCAAACCTTCTCGTCCCTCTTTCGTAGTGTTTGACTTGTTTTCAATGTATTTTTGGACACGTTAAGAATTCGGTTTTTCAGTGACCTAAGCCGTTTCTCAGTTTCGCCCAAAGTTCGTTGGAGGGTTTTTTTTTTACTGAGTCTGGAGAGTTCGACTGAAATCTGCCCCCATTAATCTTTCGGTTTTCAGTGTTGTGAGGAATACCGTCTGTAGTGTGTATAGGGGGGGGGGGGGGGGAGGGTGCATTTTAATGAAGTTCCACAATATTGTTTATCAGAGTCCCCGCGGCCCGCCACGTGGTGACCATTATTACCGGCTGTGAGCAGGGCGTGCCCGCGATGGTTTCCTTGGCCTGACCGCTAAAATATCGTCCATCCAACTCTATCCTGCTCATCTGGACGGTTTTTGGGACATCGAGATCGTGTCCTCAGCTCGTACCCTTCTGTTGTGTAGTGTTTAATCATTTCAGCATTCAGAGGCAGACCTTATACCATCACACTTGATAATGCATTTTCCAAAAGCTTCAATTTGCTTTTAACATCCATGAAGCCCGTGTGCGGACATCCTGTTCCACCAAAATTTATGGAGTGCTGGCGCGAAGTGTCCATATAGCGCTTGCGCACGTTTGGCACCCCTGTTAACATAACGGCTCACTACGCGTGTCAGGACAGCGTACTGTTAGCGTGTTCGTCGCACCATGATACGCTGGCAGCAGGTTGTGGACTCTGATAGCAGTGACATTGCCGACTTATGTAGCGATTCAATGGAGAAGTCCAATTTTGATGACCACGTTCCACGCCGCTGGCCATATACAGCGCAAGATAACGAATGTGACATATGCTCTCTAGTATCATGTAATCTTTTAGTTCAAATTCAAGGTCAAGTAAAGGAGAACTCTTCTGTTACCGTCTGGGATATTTCGGATGGGAGGAAATAAGTTATAGTAGCTGTGCACGACAAAGCTGAAGCCGGCCGAAAGTTAATCATTCCTGAAGAGGTTCATCATGCACATGAAAACTATTGTTTTTTCGAAGTGTTAAATGCCGTACATGTGATCAAAAATGGTTAGCCTGGTAAAAATGTCATAATAATTCTGGAAACACTTATTTAAAACAAACATAGAACGTGCACCTTGCCTGTGTTCTCCTCGCGCTGGCACCAGAGAATGATCATTCCAGTGGTCAACGTCGGTATCAGTCAGTGGCGACTTCAACATGCGAGAAGCTTGCGAGAATGGACACGGCATAGCTAGTTCATTCATATTCGGAGCCATGGCTGCTGGCTTAGCTATGTCTCACAGAGGACAGGGGATCCATGGCCAATGACCCACATTACAAAAAGTGACACTGTTTTTGTGAGTACAAAAGTGACACTGTTTTTGTGAGTACAAAAGTGACTTGTTTTTATAGCATTGGCCGCGGGAAAGGAAGCTGGACGTCTGTAGCGCGGTATCATTACCGCAACGTGACAGAGAACTAAGTAGGTCTGGTATCAAGGGGTAGTTCAATCCTGCTTATGCGGCAAGCATGACTTCGACTTTCGGGTGGAATTCCCTTCGCCGATAAGCACGAGTGCAGCACGAGGTCTGAAAAAAATAGTTCGTCCATTTAAAATGAGTGATTTATGTACCAGGCTGACGGAACTAATTTTGAGTAAAATTGAAGTGCATTACAGACTTGCTAAATCATCGCCATGGAAGACACATCCGTCTGTGCCTATGTTACTGTTCTAATATTCATTTTAGTACTTTTCCCCGATTGGCTATTCGAGACCTTGTTTTGCCTTCATCGCTTTCTCCATGACAAAATACTCAAGATCATGTGTTGTACTATACACTTCGTCTTTAACTGCTTCGGAGTGCTCCTAACAATACTAAGCATGTTCTTCCGTCCAGCTCCATGTCCACGTCCACCGAAGTGCTGTTAACAACGGTTCGGCGCGATACAGTAGACACCAAATTGAACGTTCTACGCATGGAGTTTATTAGCGCAAAACGGCCTAAAAACTGGTGAGTTCCTACCCCAATACATGTGTGGGTTGATCAAGCGAGGTTGTTTTATTCAGCAAGGACCTGAGAAGTGTCATCACCTCAGGGGTCATCTCACATTGCATATGCCGATGTTTCGTGTAACACGCGATTTGAATATCCTTCCAGCAGGCGTGATGATAGCCTCAGTCGAACAATGTCATGTGAAATCGGCGTTTGCCGGTTTCATCACATGCTGTCTCCCTCTTGTTTTTCTTATTCGCCGCTTCATCCTGTATCGTTGCAATGTATTTTCTCACTGGGAGCATATTGCATCCGTCAACCATGGTCGACCTCACAACTGTTCTACGGCAGGCCTTCCCCCCCCCCCCCCCGCTCTCATCAGCTGCACACACCGAAGAGGCCTGAGTAGCTGGGTTTCGGGAGCTGTGCCATCCCACGATGGCCGCAATAATGTTCAACCTCTTACCTCGCGTCATAATTGCATGACTCTGGCATGGCCATTCACAGCCTAAAAATAGCTTTGACCTGACCAAAGTAACAAGAGAATGCACGATGATACGATCTTGACGAGGCCGGGGCCTACAGGCAATTGTGTCCCATTGCCGTTCGGTAATGGACCGTTACACCGCAATATTTTCTCGACGAACATAGCCGATACGCCGTTATCGTCGCACAATCTCGCGCCGGTTCAAGTACGCCCCGTCGCTGGCCGGTCTAAGATTTGTGATGTCTACGTTCGTGCGCGCCTGCCAAAGTCATATCTATACACCCATTGCAAGACATTGTTGCCAATAACTGCCATTTCCATAGACAACTCCACAGTCATAATCCAGCGATTCACTGCATACATGGACTCGCAGGGCTTGCGGTTACAGCTAAGCTGATCACAAGTCTGACCGCGAGACACTGCTATCAAAAATCGCTCTTCATATAGAGCCAAGCTCCTTTGTAATGTCTTCCGCGCACCGCATTGTTGTCTTCGGGGCTTCATGACGCACTCAGCTCCTCGGGCTATACGGCGCCCCTGCCTGTCGCCCCAGTAGGAGGGTGGGCACTGCGGGAACCGAACTCCGTGCCTGAACAGATTCCTCTCCAAAGACCGGTAGCGTCGAAATTCATGAACTCAACAAATCGCACTTCCGCTTGACTAGTCGCAGCCAGGTAAGTGTACATACCAAATCCCAAGTAGCGCCGTGGCTTCAAAGCTTTGATGAAAACTGTGAGTAACGTCTCTCCTGCAGGTCATTTCAGACGGCCAGCGCTCACACCTTCCCTGTTTGTCTTCAGCGGTCAACGAATATCAACGCAGTGAAATGACAACGTCTCTGCATGTGACTTCACCAGATGCTTCCCGGTACACCAGCAAAACTCCGGTCCACCTAAGCATTTTGGTGGCGTCGCATCTGCCAGCCACCAAACAATGGAGTGGCACCGAATGACCCGTTTCTGAGTGGGCGGAGCTCCGTCAACAGACTATAGCGGTGGAGTTAACAGGTTTGAATGCCAACATGACCGATGCATACACAAGAGATGGGTTTGCAACGCCCACAATCAGCTCAAGGAAGAAAACGACACGTATTGCTCACTGTTAAAGCGTGAAAATCAAATAAAAGTATAAATTGGTATGTCTGAATACAACGTGCTATGACTTTCACTACCGTCTGTGAATTGATGGTACACAATAGACAAATATTTTGTGCGAAAGGTCTCTGCCTGAAGTACATTGCGCATGCCTTACCCGCAGTTATCCGCACTGCTGCAAAGCTGTTACCAAGATCACGGTCGATAACATCAACTTTTCAGACTCCTCACTGAAGAAGTTCACACATTAACCCGTCGCAGACGCTGTACATGGAGACGTGAGGCCAATGACGATCCGTGTCGGCTTCACCCTATAACTAACGCTGACTAGCGTAACGACGGACCCAGCCACGTGCACGACCGCGACGGAGGCTGACGACCGGCCAATGCGGACGTTTGCAGCCAGCCTCTGTTCACCGCGGGGCGTCCCCAATCCTCATCCCTTTGTCCGTCTGTGCGGGTTACTCGTCGAGGTGTGGTGCCGCGTTGCAGGCAATACAGGCCATAGGCGAACAAATGGTTCGGTGTAATATATTAAAAACTATCAACAGGCAACAAGCAACAGCTTTTAACTGACATTACAATCTTGCCAATCTGCATGGCCTGATAATTGGCGATGCATTATCAACAGATCATGTAACAAAACATGTAAGAGGCCCTAGGCCTCACTGTTAGCTTTCAACCGGTGCAATGGGTGAAATGGTACCCACGTGCCCACGTATGGGAGAGGTGCCGACATATATCTAGCGCGCGGAGCGTGCTATAAACACAGTCCGTCTGGTCACCACGTGCAAAAGGTCAAGTCACTAAGCCCTCGACGTATTACCACACACCATTACTCGGGGCGCGACAGCACCATCCCATCGTACCGCACGACGGAGAAACACAGCGTCTCAGCCGCGCTTACGAGCGCTGACTTGTGGTAACACTTCACTGACAGCCACGAAGTTGAATCATACTTTGTTTGGAAACACTAGTGGAAATGACATTGTTCTTAATTTCGCAAGCGAATAACTGGTCAAGTAGTGAAATTACTGCAGAGTAATAGCCGCGCAAAGCAAACCAACTAAAGCAAAGTGAATACAATAAGCTTCTAGCGCTGCGTGGAACTCCTCTCCTGCTATGGATAGACAATCGGTATCCGCTAAAAATGCCCTTGCCCTCAAGCACCAAGTACATCCCGTACGAAACTGCATGCACTTGACCAATCAGAACCGAACAACAATCTGAAAGTCGGAGCTTCCAACCAAGTGAATGTCATCAGCTCGCACGAACGAACTGGTAGGAGCAAAGACGTAAACGCAAGAAACGCAAATAAAACTGCGAAGCTGAGGAATATTAAGCGAATATAAACCTAGGGCGTAAGGGTAGTATGTCGTAGACGCACCGTAAAACACAATATCGCCCACGGGGTACTACATCAAGTAAAAATACGGATCAATTGTCATCGAAACAGCGCAAGGAACAGCAAGTGCACTTTCCAAAACATTTTTTGAACACTGCTTTCCGGCAACAGCAGTTTCCTGTGTAACGGCGGTTCACTAAGTCCGCCCGAATCGAACACGCCCATCTCCACAGCGCCGACCCGAGCGGCCCGAGTTGGCTCGCGCGCGGTCGGTGCCGCAGGGCGCTCACAGCTGACAGAACGCCTGGAACATGAGCACCTCGTGCTGGCTGTCGAGCCGCAGAGTGACCGCCTCTCCGGCCGGCACGAACAGCACGGTGCCGCGGCGCACGGCGGCGTCGCCGCAGCGACCCATGCCGGACACCACCAGCAGCAGGCTGGCCGAGTCCCGGGTGGGCAGCGTGTAGCCCGTATCCGGCACCACCGGCCGGAACTGCAACCCAGACACACGGCAGGGGTCAAGTGGCGCCAGATGGGCGGCAGAAGGGTGCCGATGCACACTCCGTCTCTGTCCGCTACCACCGGCGGGAGCTGCAACCCAGACACACGGCAGGGGTCAAGTGGCGCCAGATGGGCAGCAGAAGGGTGCTGGTGCACATTTCGTCTCTGTCCGCCCTCTGTCTCTGTCCGTTACCACCGGCGGGAGCTGCAACCCAGACACATGGGGCAAAAGGTATGTCCATGCACCGAAAACGAGAGCTTGAGAAATATTTAATATAGTAAGGTCGTTATGGACTATTAAGCAACTACGAAACGTGCTAGGAGCCTCATGTAAACAAGATGTGCCAAAAAAAACTGTACAAACTATTAAGTCGGCGTTACTTTATCAACATGAGTCTTCCTTTAAGCACAAAAGCAGCGTCCATGTCAGCGATTGGAAGACATAAGCTAAACTGGTAAAGTGATGTTTACGAAAAGTATCTGTATAGCCTCATGCGCTTTTGCGCTATCATGAGCACAAGGCCACCAACACGTTTCTTTTCTTTGGAAATACGACAGAGACACCCAGCCTGGCTTATGCCCAGCTAAAACCTCCCCTCGCACTGCCCTCGTTACAGGCGACGGGCGGGAGATGCGATCCCCTCATGTTCGTGGCTGAGCTTTCCGTGTTACTTGGCGCCATTGCACCCAATTTTCAATAACTTGAGGGCATTCGGTGGGGGTCTTCTGACGTCAAAACCTGTCCGGCACCTCTGGTTTCTGGCTAGACGTTTACAGGAACGTTGCACAGCACAGCTACTGCCGGCGCGGGAGGCGGCCGGTGACCGACAGATCCAGCGATCGCAGAAGGAAGATCGCAGACACTGGGACACTTGTGCACCTCCACCCCGAATCATCAGCATATGCTCAAAACACGCAAAACCGCACGAGGATGCACCGAAACTTGAACACACGATACGCCTGTATATATTTCATGTTGCTACATTACATTCTTTCGTTAACATTAACATGAAAAGCTGAAATGGTTGCATTTCCGAAACAGCAATGGCCTCTGATCCGGCAAAGTGGGCGAATTATTGATCAAGCAACACAAAATGTGTGATCAGTGGCCCGATCTCGCTGAGGACAATCCGCTGTTTTCGTTCTTAGCAAGACTATATCGTTCTCAGTTTGGAAATGGCAGGGCGGGTCGCGTTGACGCCTATCAACCATCCGTTTTTTATGGCAAACGACCAATCCGGGCGAGGGATAACTCACCGACATAAATACGCGTCAAACGAACGTCGAAAGAAGTCGAACGTTCGTGAGTGTGGCCGGTTGAGTCACATATTTCAAATGTACACATGGCTAGCTGCCCACCAAGGCATCAAGCTTGCACACTTATACACAACCTTGCATGCGATGCATAATAATTCGCAACGTTTCTGCCCGCGCACTGCTGGCCACGGGCACCGCAAAACACCATGACCACGTGGCCATGCTCATAGCAGATCTGCCTGGGCACTGCACTGCTCGTGGTCGCGTGCACGGACACGACCACATACCACACACAAATCACGCTACAGTACGCGTGACACGAGCCAGGCCGGGCGCCAGCTGACCTCACCTGTATCTTGGCCAGCGTGAAGTCGGGCACGGGCGGGTCGAACAGCACCACGCCGGGGCCCTCGGTGCCGGTCGGCGCGAACAGCTGCTGCTCCGGCGGCGCGCACTTGTACGTCAGCATGTCCACCAGGGTCGGCACGTCCTTGAACTTGGGCGTCAGGCCGGCGCGCACCACGTTGTCCGAGCAGGCCATCAGCTCCACGCAGTCTGCCCGGAAGGAGCACGGAAGCGTTAACAGGGCGTTCGTCTCGCGCTGCTCGCAGCACGTGATTCACGCGCGTGTGGTGCGGGGGATCGCTTTAATCGAGCGCGGTAGAATATCAGGCAGAAATGTGGTGCACTGGTGTGTTGGCTAGGTCGGGATATTCACTCATATAAAACAGGTACGTACATTCACATATTCGGATGTCACGCAGCGCGTCAATCTTGACGTAAGGATGTCACGCAGCGCGTCAATCTTGACGTAAGACAGAGGTGAACGACAACGATCAGCAGCACGCAGGACGGAAACAATGAGGACCAGAAACACGCCCGTAAAGGACACAGCATACCTTAGGACACGTTGTTTTCCAAAACCGATCGGTGCACTTTCCTATTCAACCTATTTGCGGAGAACACATTTCCACAAAGGCACTGACAAAACTGCTGAATAATCCGTGAGCTAAAAAGGCAAGCAGGGGGGCTGAGCCATCGCATACGGCACAAGCCGCCTGACCTCCGACCACTGACCTCCCAGCAAGTAGGCGTGCGGCTCGTTGGGGCCCAGAAACAGCGCCTCGCCAGGCTGCAGGGTCAGGTGATTCAGAAACAGGGCGCAGAAGCAGCCCACGTCGCCGGGGAACTGGCCATTGAGGCGCAGCAGCAGCTCGGACGGCACGTCCTGGCTCGGGGAGTCCCCTGCCGACAGTGTCCATAGCTGACGGCCGACGACGCGTCGACCGGCACACCAGCGACAACAGCCAAAGGCGATCACAAGGGAAGGGTAGGGCCATGACTCTCTCTCCGAGACAGCTCAAGGTGGGCAAACAACGACATGTTTACAGACATTAAGGAAATCTACGGAGCTTTCACCAATAAACATTTGTTCAAGAACACTGCTTATCATTAATAGAAACAATTCCTGTTCAGGTCTGGACAAAAAGAACCAGTTCTGGGATTGTGCCCCCCTCCCCCCCCCCCCCCCCACACACACAAAGCCAGGTATTGCATCTGCCCAAGGCGTCACTTTGCACCCAACATTGACGCCAGACAGACTCCTATTATGTTCGAACGCATCCGGTGAAAAACTTAAACCATGCCTCCAAAGGGCATTAGCATTACGCAGACGGCCCGCGGTCTCCGGTCTACAAACACATATCTCCAAAGGACCCCACACCCGTTCCGACGACACACTGCACCCATAGCCGCCGCACGCGTGCGCGCCACAGTAAGCCGTCGACGCCGGACGGCAGCCGGCAGGCTCCCGCTGAGCGGGCTACCTTGAGCTCGCAGGCGCGCCGCCAGCGCCTCCACGTGGCGTGCGACCTCGGCCGGCTCGCGGGTCATCAGCGCGCGGAAGCAGTCCCTGAGGTGGCACCGGGCTTGGGGGTCGGCCGGGCTCGCTGCCAGCAGACGGCCGGCAGCGTCGGCTCCGACGACGGTGGCCAGCTCCGGCACCACTGTCGGTCAGCGTCGGTGTCAGGCCAGGTCAGGGTCAGGGTCAGGTCAGGTCAGGTCAGCGGCAGTGGCGTACCGCGCGAACTGCGCGGCAGCATGCGACGACAGGCCTACAGAGGAAGGTGTTCAGCAGTGAATACAGACGACAGTTGGAGATATTATAGGTGCGCAATGATTAACACTTGCCAGCTAATAAACACCCGTGCACGTAAAAATAAACACCATTTGGGGCCCACGCCGTACATGGTGAGCAAGTCTGCCGTGGAAAAATGGGACAAAGTGTCGCTGCATTACGCATCAATTATATAATACACATACAAGATATACACATACAAGATATATAATACAATACAATAATACACATACAAGACTTCGACTACACGCTCTGTTTTCCTCTAGGGCCTAAACACAAACATTTTGCGTCACAAGAAACAGTACCCGCGTGGCACCGTGCAACGAGCCTCAGAGCCACACGCTGCACTCCTGCCAGCTTATACGTGGATTCATTCAGACATACTCATGAGGACTACCACACAAAGTCAAGGTCAACAACACAGGTGTCACGCTAGGTGGGGTGTTTGGACATTTGGATAAGGCGTTTGGCGACGCGAATGGCGTCATTTGACCATATGACGTCACCGCGCGACCAGAGTACGCACCGGTGCAAATAGTCACAGCCCAATCACGTGAAGTCACGGGACGACGCAGTAGGCCCTAGACGGCGTACTGGCACAGGGTTGAGTCAGATGGCGCCACCAGACGGTCACAGACGAACACTAGCGTGCTGTTACGGGGTCAGGTCACGTCACCAGGCCGTGACAATAAACACCAGTGTGTTGACACGGGCTTGGGTCAGGTCACGTCACCTGGCCGTCAAATAAGCACCCGTGTGTTGACACGGGCTCGGGTCAGGTCACGTCACCAGGCCGTGACAATAAACACCAGTGCGTTGGCACGGGCTCGGGTCAGGTCACGTCACCAGGCCGTGCCAATAAACACCTGTGTGTTAACACGGGCTCGGGTCAGGTCACGTCACCAGGCCGTGACAATAAACACCTGTGTGTTAACACAAGCTCGGGTCAGGTCACGTCACCAGGCCGTGACAATAAACACCAGTGTGTTGACACGGGCTCGGGTCAGGTCACGTCACCAAGCCGTCACAATAAACACCAGTGTGTTAACACGGGCTCGGGTCAGGTCACGTCACCTGGCCCTCACAATAAACACCGGTGTGTTGACACGGGCTCGGGTCAGGTCACGTCACCAGGCCGTCACAGTAAACACCAGTGTGTTGACACGGGTTCGGCTCGTGCCACGGCACCAGGCACCCACAATGAGCTCATTTTGACGGTAGTATGCAGATACGCGATTAGGCCAGGCGGCGCCACCGGAAGGCCGCGATGAGTGCCAGCATTTTGATACATAATCGCGCTGAATGGCTTTAAAAGGCAGTCAGGGAGCATTCGTGTGTTGAATCAAGATCGCGTGGCATCCCCCCATCGAACGGCCAAAATCAGCGTGAGTTCAGTCCTGAGCTTTAAAGTTCAGACATTTTACTGATACTTAAACTGCACACGGACATTGTTTCGAGCATACTTGTTAACACAAACGCCTGAACTCTTTTTAGGGTATGACGTATTGACTCGTAGCAGAGAGACCATAGACATACCCAAGAGCCAAATCATTCCGATAGCAAAACAAAGAAAAAATTGACCCAAAACATATTTCATTGATGATCTACGTACTCCAATTCCTTCTATAAGCTTTTCTCATTGACCAGCAAGATTACACATGCCCCTTTTCAAATAATCTTTAGGCGCGTTTGTCACACGTATTCCCAGCGCACAATAAATCGCCACGCCGGGTAGACCCCCCGCCGTTTCGAACGCTGTAAAGAATAGGTGAAGATACCAAGTTACCAGACCACGACCGCAAGGTGCGCGTTCCAGCGCCTCATGTCTCCATTGCAAGTTGCATCCACTTCACGTGCCATGTCATGGCGAAGATTTCACGCAGCAGCATGACCCTCTTTCTGAAGGTCATGCTGGCGATTGGGCACCTAGCTTGCAATTCCCACAGAAAAGGTTTTCAGGAAATGGGAGCGGCACGAGCCCAGGTTCCTGTCCTCTGGGATGTAATGCGACCATGACTCATCGCTGGCAACGTTACGATCTATGAAATTATCGGTATTTCTTCTGTATCTGCCATCGGACTTCTTGGAAATATCGACGCGGGCCTTCGTCTGCTCGTCCGCCAGTCTGTACGGCATCTTCCACTGTGCGCAAACTTTTGACACAAACAGCCTATCACACAGGGTGGCCCCAACAGATCGGGTCGATATTTCAGCCTCTGCTACCAATGTGCGTGTACATAAACGTCTATCCTCGGCAGCATCCCGTGCAGAGTGCCACACCATCACTGTCAGCGGAAGTCATCGGATCCGGATCATGTCTTTGTGGCTGCGCGTCCGTTCGCCCATTTTTGAATCTATCGGTTCATTTAATGACGTTCGCCTTGTTCATGGATGTTTCACCCCGCTGGCTTTATGGATGCATGGCACAAAGTCAGATGACTTCGCTCCATCTTAAAACGAAACCCTTCAACCAAGCCATCCTGCCATTAGCCTCCAAACCAATTCGTTTTGTATTTCCAAGTAAACAGCAAGCACTTGGGCGTTAAAAGGTGCTGAATGTCAAATGCTGTCAATATCAAAAGAGGTCTTTGAAGTGCTCGCAAGTACTTGCCTCCCACCCCCCCACCCCCCGGCAATGGAGCTCCAAAGTGCAGCTGAGTCCGCCGTACTGAATCTCTGGGCTTCACTGCATCTCGCTCTCAGGAGAATGGAGCCTTCACAGTTCAGTGCCGAGTACTTGACAAGTACTATGGATCAGCAACCAAGCGATAAGGCCAAGGCACCACACTCACCGGTACCAACCTTTCAGCAGGCGCTCTCTCCAAAATTGTCAACGCGTGCTGAGAGAACAAAGGAGCGTAATGAGGTCGTCCTATTCAAACCCTGCCAACTATTTGTTCTTTGGTTGTGTATTGTGCTCACGGTTGTAGGGCTTCACTACACGAGATCAGGATAAGTTTATTCCTATGTACTACTGTTAAAAGATCAGCCAAAATCAGCTTCACCATAAATTATCAAACAAGTCTGTCTGGGTGATTTTGGCTCCACCGTGTGACTGCTTAGATCGGTCCCCCTTATCGAGCCTTTCCCCTTCGTATAGATCAAAGAATAATTTATCTTCTCCCCGAACCGAACAGGGCTCATTAAACACAAGCCATGAACCTGTTTATCTTGAATTGTTTACAGGATCATTACACACGGCTCGCAGATCTGCTCTACACAGGCAATGTGCGCGAGGAATTGTTTACAGGATCATTACACGGCCTCGCAGATCTAAAGAAACGCTCTACACGGCCAGTGTGCTCGAGGAACAGAAAACAAGCCACATTACTAAACTCGGCATGTCGCTCTTGACTGAAAAATGGTCACTCAATTTCAGTGGAAACACTACCCTTGTTTCAGCCGCATACTACAGCAGCTATCTTCCGCTCACGGTATGTGGAGGCATGCTCGAGCATGAGCCAGCATCATATCCCAGTTCTCACCTACCGGTGCCTGTGTGTGCGCCACTTGAGTTTTACGACGCACTCAGCTAGCTGCTGCGCCTATACGGCCGTCGCCTGCCTCTAACCCTGACATGAAAGGCGGGCACGGGGGGGGGGGGGGGGGGGGGGGGGGCGGGGGGGAGAGAGAGAATCGAGCCGTGCACCTCTGGTTTCCTACACGCGCAGTGGTTAACGCAGACAAGTTGGCCACTACCCATCTATCGGCACTGTTCATCACCTACCTGCTGACGCTGCCTGGGCTGTTATCTTTCTTGACCCATGACACGATTTGGCTACATCACACAATCCACCTAAATTCACCCGTGTTCCACTTAGAGAATCCCCCTCATCTCACGGTTGGCAGTGGCTAGTTCAAGTCTACGGATCGGGCACACAATTTTTGTTTAACTAAATGTTACAGGGTATCAAAATTTCCTATTTTCGACCCACCTTTCCACCAAACATAGTACCACCTAATAGCCACACTACACTAGACGAGAGAGCATTCAATGTCATATCAGACACATTGAAGCATATCCCACCATCACACCTGACAAACGCCACCCCTGCACCACACCCAGTAACCTGACCAACCCACAGCACATAGCCCCTCCCCCGGCCATCACCGCACCATTCCGTCCACGTCCTCACCACAGCATTCCAGCACGTGGCTGCACCACATCGGTCGGAGCCCTCACCAGTGAGGAAACGCTGGATCTGCTCCAGCGGACGGAAGCCGCAGAGGGCCTCGAACGGCGTCAACGCCAGCGCCATCTCCGGCTTGTGGTTGTCGTCCTTGTACAGGTCCGGCCGGGCGCGGTGCAGCTCCTCGGCGTGCTCCTGGTGAGCGCACAGGGTCGCTTGTCGGAGCGTCACGCAGCCCGAGAGAATAATGTACCTCTTCGTCAATACGTGTACACTTTTGCAAGTTGCCATGTTTTTCGATGTTACCTCCAGTTTGTCTCCTAGCCATCCGTTTGTACCTTAAATGACACTCAAGCAAGCTTCGATATATTCTGATTTTTTCTGATTTTTTCTCTCAGAAAAAATCAACCAGCATAAGAACGCAATAACAACTTGCCGATAAATACGTACACAAAGTACGTAAAAAATTAATCAAGGAGGCGAGCCTGTTCGCCGGTACAACTAAAACCGACCTTAGATGGATGCGCCTGGATGGAGAGCGCCATGTTGACTGACAGCACCTTGAACAGGTACGGCAGCCGCTGGCCGAACTTCTGCAGCACCTTCTCGCCCAGCGCGCTCGGGTTCTGCCGGATCCAGTCGGCCAGCTGCTGGCCCGACTTGGCCAGCACGGCGGCCCGCTGGGGTGCGTGCCCATCCACAGCTCGGCGTATGGCGAGGCCTCGTCAACGGCGAGGCCCTGCGCGGCGGCTGCCAGCTGGGCAACCGTGCTCTCGGAGCCGCGCCGGCCCCAGTGGTAGGTCTGGTGGGCGCATTTCAGCTCCATGGCGGCCGCCGAGCCAGCTGACCATGCAACAACAGCCAGCGGTCAGGTCAACAGAGGCGGTCGGACGCGGCAACGGCGGTCAGGTCAACAGAGGTGGCCAGACGCGGCGCCGGCGGCCAGGTCAACAGAGGTGGTCAGACGCGGCGACGGCGGTCAGGCTAACAGAGGCGGTCAGACGCGGCGCCGGCCGTCAGGCTAACAGAGGCGGTCAGACGCGGCGCCGGCCGTCAGGCTAACAGAGGCGGTCAGACGCGGCGCCGGCCGTCAGGTCCACAGAAGCGGTCAGACGCGGCGCCGGCGGTCAGGTCTACAGAAGCGGTCAGACGCGGCGCCGGCGGTCAGGTCAACAGAGGTGGTCAGACGCGGCGCCGGCGGTTAGGTCACAGAAGCGGTCAGACGCGGCGCCGGCGGTCAGGTCAACAGAGGTGGTCAGACGCGGCGCCGGCCGTCAGGTCAACAGAGGTGGTCAAACAGGGCGCCGGCGGTCAGGTCAACAGAGGCGGTCAGACGCGGCGCCGGCGGTCAGGTCAACAGAGGTGGCCAAACGCGGCGCCGGCGGTCAGGTCAACAGAGACGGTCAGACGCGGCGCCGGCTGGTCCAGGTCAAACAGAGGCGGTCAGACGCGGCGCCGGCGGTAGGTCAACAGAGGTGGTCCAGGACGCGGCGGCCGGCGGTCAGGGGTCAATAGAGGCGGTCAGACGCGGCGCCGGCAGTCAGGTCAACAGAGGCGATCAGACGCGGCGACGGCGGTCAGGTCAACCAGAGGTGGTCAGACGCAGCGCCGGCGGCCAGGTAAACAGAGGCGGTCCAGACGCGGCGCGGCGGCCAGCAACAGAGGCGGTCAGACGGGGCGGCAGACGCGGGGCCCGCACCGGCGGTCACGTCAACAGAGGCGGTCAGACGCGGCACCGGCGGTCACGTCTCAACAGAGGCGGTCAGACGCGGCGCCGGCGGTCACGTCAACAGAGGCGGTTCAGACGCGGCGACCGGCGGCCAGGTCAATGGAGTAGTCAAATGCAGGGCCAGTAGTCAGGTCAACAGAGGCAGTCATCACACAGTCACTGTGCAGTCACCACATGAAACAAACCTCACAGAGGTAGTGCGTACACTGCTGCAATATCGAGCGAGCTAAGCAAGCTAGAGTCACAAAGAAGATAATATTGTGAAGATCTCGTCATACTGCGCCAGACAGATGTGACAGAACAATGACCTTCGACAGGCCGAATCGGATAACAGGTAATTTAACACTTAACAGACAGTTCTTCCCCTCTCAAGAGCTAGCTTGCTACAAATATGTTACATGTGTCACTGAAGAGCTCTTGGGAAACTATCAGTTAGGCACTGATGGATACTGATGCATGTGACATGTCCTGTATTATGCCACGCCAAAAGGGTGAAGGCCACTGTTGCTTTATCTGTCTGCTTGTCCAAACTGAACAAACCATTACATCAATGGAAAAACATTAGACATCCCTTCTGAAATTTCTGTGATAAAGGTTGATGTTGACACTTCAAATGGTCATGAATGCCCACATTTGACCTAACTTTACCTATAAAGACATGCCTCTGCAAAAGTCATCAGAATGATAGTACAGGAAATGGAAGTGATCCTCTATAAGGAGGACAAGTCCTTTGCATGAATCATTTACTGCACCAAATAAGTGTAAGCTGTCATTTTTGAGCAGCACGTTGCTGATGTGATCTTGAGACATATGTCATAGGTCACAACTTGCTCAGGCCGGAAACCTGAAACTTAAGAACATTTTCAGAAATGTTCACACAGCTTATCCTGTCACCAGCAGTATGTTCACTAGGAACTAAAAATAGCGCCTACATGTGGTAACGTAAGGTCGGGTAAGTGACACTGCCAATGGCTTGGTCTAAAAAGCTGCTCAAATCATATGATGCAATCTCATATATGTGCAAGGTAATGACACAAGTACCCATATATTCAAATTAGTTCTACGAACTGAGCAAAAGCAAGGAAGCAAAAACTTTAATTACTTGCTTGAATTAGAGGACTTCTGTGAATGCTGGATATCTTAAAATATATTAACTTTAATGTTGTCATGCTTAACGTGCCCTCAAGTGGGGGGTCAAATTAACACCACCCAAAGGTTTTTCTGGAATGGTTTCTCAACAGTGCAGTATAGCTGCACCAAATTTTGCATAGCTTCGACAACTGAATACCGGATCAGCTCACATCAGAAATTTAGATGTACCTTGCAAGGTTGCTGACCTATGGCAGGTCAAAGTCAGGCCATGGTCCCAGCAAAGGCAATTTAAAAGGAATCATTCAATCTGATCCAACATTGGAGTGTTGGATGGAGCCAGACATCTCTGAGATACTTTCTTAGGCAACACAATAATTGAGTGAACACATTACATTGAGCTAGGGTCAGGTATGAAGGTCAGACAATGGTCCAAATTAACCTGCTTTTTACTGTAGGGCTTGCTGTATGGGGTAGTTTCTGGTGCTCATTTTAATATATTGATAACAGGAACCACATCATACACCTTTTATTGACTTCTCTAAGGTCAGAACATTTCAATGATTTAAAATGACCCAGGTCAACATTTTGTTTTTAGAAACACACTGCCTAGTGTAACCTTAGTTGCTTATTCAAAGGCAAAACTCAAGGCAGTCTTGTATGATGCTGATCATTTGAATCTTCAAAAGGTCAAGTAAGGTCACTGACCTTAACTTATCATATGTCCTTTTGCTAAGAACAGCTATCTATGTTCCAGGGCACTTTGGAGACCAACTCAAAATTTGATCTTGTTTGACCTTATTTGCCCCAAAGGTCATGATATAGGAACATCAAGCTTTGACCTAAGTGAGTTCATGTACAAGTCAACACACCTTGTGAATTTGGTGTATGTAGTTCTCTTAGTTCCTGAGATCTCAGAGGGGGCGAATTGACCCCCCAACCCACACCCAGCAAAGGGTATCCAGCTGGCCACCCCAGTGAGTGTTAAGGTAACACATAGTAGAAATGTTCCAGGTGTGCCTACAGCTTTCCAAATATTAGAACAAGTGCTTAATCTAGCCAACATAATATGCAATACTAATGCCAGAAATAAACAGTGTGCCAATCTGTAACACAGCTAGGCCAGTATACACACCATGACAGATTTTGAATGCATCTTGTTCAGGCAGAGAACAAGCATAATGCTTAACTGCAAATTCAGAGCAAAATCCTACCTAACCATCATGTTTGACCGCCAATTTAGAATAGCTTATTTCAATTTGATGGACGATGATACAGTTAGAGTATTGAGGCATTTTGATGTTACATGACATAGTAAACTGGTAACACCCCAGAAAATGACCGGACTTCATGATAAATCTTGTTTTTGGGGGGAGAGTGAGGTTAATGGCAGGATGTTGCCTGCTCCAAGCATCTTGTGGCAAT